CTTAAACCAAACAGGGATTAATGACTCAATATATAAAAAAGATTAAGAATATTTAAATAATTTTATAGGTAATTCTAACATTTTAAATATTAGATATCTTGATTTTTACTTTTCTCATGCAGTAAATATATTATTTTAGAGAATTTCTTGAAACACCAATGCAATTCTTTAATCATAATAAGTGATAAAAAAAATTGGAGTAACGAAAATGGAAACATGTAACATCCCCTTTTTGAAGTAGGGAAATGTCCTGCACAAAATAAAAAAAAGAAAAAGAAAATATCTATAAGATCAAAGGCTCATTTTATATACCATTTCCAGGCTCAAAATCAGTACAAAATAGATTAAAAATTATAGAGCCAACCATAATTTTGGGCAAATATAGATTTGTTTTATTGACTACTTGGATGCATTGCTCATTGTTAGCCTATGACATCCACCAAAAGTCTTAGGAAATAACAACTACTCCTCAATACTACTATACGGAATGGTGGCATAAATTCTATGAGCTCACAACCCAATAAACATAACTCTTAACCATAAGTTAAGTTAATAATCTTTACTTAGTTCATTATGCAAAAATGTACCATTAGTTCCTGGTAGTACTAGTATTACTAATAATTTAGACAATTAGCCATAGAACAATCACATAACACAACACATTAAACAGATTTAACATTGATTATGGAGTCCATTGAAATGTGCATGGACTCACATTAAGTGCTAGAGTGAGTCATAGCACTTACCTACTGTGTAGAGGTCTATTAGTTCACTGTTTTAACCCTCAAGCTGAAGTTGGGGTCTAGACTCTCTATTATTTGAAGATAATTATACCAAAAAAACATATACCTTATAGAAACATGCATCACATGTTCAACAATCAATGTAATCTGGAGAACCATAAAGAAAACATGTATAACATCAGAATTTAACTCGTTAAAATGTAGTAAATCTCAATTTTAGACCTTAATAGTCTAGTTTAAATCTCATTCTTACTATTTCCACAA